AAAAACCTATTATAGCTCTGTATCTTGCTAACACTTAGCAAGGTTGAAATAAGTAAGAGCTCGTCACGGTTTTGCACTTCACTAATCATCTTAGTGGGTTGAAATAAGTAAGAACCTATTATAGCTCTGTGTCTTGCTAACAGCCTTAGCAAGGTTGAAATAAATAAGAGCTCGTCACGGTTTTGCACTTTTCTAATGGTCTTCGCGAGTTGAAATAAGTAAAAACAAACACATTTCTAGCTGTTAAGACAAAGGTCCGCTAATTCTGATAGAGGAATTGACTACGTACCTTCCTTATGAGTTCTTTCAGGTTATTTATATGTATTTAATACTAACCATTTACTCTTATATTAATAAGGAACATGTAAAGCTTGCCAATGCGTTATGGGATAATCCTGATGTTTAAAATCAATTTACAAAATAAAATCATCAACAAAACGTAAAAGAAATACAAACGAAGCAGATTTAGTCGAGAAAGAAAGGCGTCTTACTCTCAAGGAACAAGAACTGGCCATTAAAGAGCGAGAAGCAAACGAAACAGCTTTAGTCGAAAAAGAAAGGCATCTTAATCTCAAGGAACGAGAACTTGCCATTAAAGAGAGAGAAGTGAAAATACGAGCCTTGGAATTACGAGAGCTGGCTATTAAAGAGAAAGAAGTTAAAATTCGAGCCTTGGAATTATTAAACATTGAAAAGAGAAGGAGTTGGGCTTGTAATTTTTTTTTTAAAAAAGACACATGCATTAAAATCGTCTGAATTATTCTGCAAAAAAAATACGAGTATGTTGTAAAGATTATGTGCTAAAGTAGATAGAGAAATGTCATTATTTTAAAAAAAGATTTGGATACAAAAAAAGTCGACGGGAAAAAGAAAACCGGTTCTTTGTGTCTTAAATAACTTTTGAAGAAAACAATCAAATAAATAATTTTATACATAAAATTATTATCGTACATTTATCATTTGATGGAATTGGCTACATACAAATTGTTATTATGCAAAATTTTTTTAGTTTAGGATGTGAAATCGGATTATTCAAAAATATATGCGATGCGTCTTTGGTGTATAATAGTCTGGAGCATAAAGCTTTCGTTCCATTGACTTAAAAATTTAAATGAATTTAAATTTAAGGAAACTCGTTGAATAAATAATAAACTTTTAAGTACAGATAAATGGAATATCGGAAAGTCAAAAGACTTTCCATACGGGGATTTTCCTTAAAGTACTAAAATTCATAAAACAAGATCCTAAACAATTTAAACTTGACAAAGAAGCACATCGGATTTGCCCCGCTTGATTTTGCATAACAAATAAACTTGTTGATATCTTATGAATTCGTAGATAAATCAATTATTTTTTAAAAAAAAAATGTATAATCAAGTACGTAATATCACAAGATATTTGTACGAGTAAATGTATGGCACAATCATTAAGGGACACCCGTGGTATTTGTTTCTTATAAGGTAATCAGGTTGATAAAAGGACTCATACAGGTGTTCCTGCAAGAAAATAGTGAGTAGCAAAAAACTCCGGAAGTTGTAACATGTATCCAAGTTTGAATTACTTGTGAAGTCCAATAGTAAGATAAGAGAATATAATCATAGCAATTAATTTTCCATTTTCTTTTCTTCCTCCTGCTGTGGGTAAATTTTAAAACAAAAACGAAAAAAAAAAATTACCATATTGAGAATAAATTCTCCGCAAATAATCCACCAAAAGAAACAAGAATCATACTCTTGATGAATTCTAATATTTCTATAAACTATGAATGTTTGACGAATTGTGCATTTCAATAGAATCATGACACTGAAGAAAGAATCAGATAGATAAATTTTATATGATTTAGATGAAAATAGCCACGATTGTAAGGGTAGATAATTTCCTAAGGACACTTTAATCAATTCAAGTTCTTAATGAAAAATAAGTGCACATGCTACCATAACTAGAATCTTGAAATGATAAATTTACTACTTTGATTCATGATTGTATTAACATTAATCAATAGTTACACAAGTCGAATTTCTTACTTTCTTAAAAAATTCCATAATATAAAGTGTAATTTATAACATGTCCATTCACAAAAATTTATTGAACTTAGTTTATATAATATGTATCGAAACTTTTAATGTATTTTTTATTTAAATTCTTAAAGCAACAATTACTAATTATATTTCCGCAGTTACTGCGCTATTAGTAAATGCGAAAAGCATATTTGAAACGGAGGTAAAGTTTTTTATTTTATTGAAATCTTAAACTTTATTGCATCAATTTTAAAAATTTTCAAATAACTTTAATAAATTAATGAATTAAAAAATTTATATATAAAATTAATATTTTTTATTAAACGTAAACTAGTTACCGATTGATCAAAAATTTTTACAATAAAAATAAATTTTAAAAAAAACTTTAGTTTTTTTCGGCGACGCGTTTTTGAAAAAACTATCTAATTAATTCTAAGTAACGTAACGTTATCGTCATTTCGTTTGTAAGTAGCGTTAGCGTAAGCGTGATTGGAAAATATTCGGAATCGTCTATTTCTGTGTTAAATAAAAAATAAAGAAAATTGTTGGGTGTGAGTAATTCCCGCGGTTAACTACTCCCTAAGGAAGATCAGCCAGAGCTAATGGACCACTTCAAAATGATTTGGATTTTTTAGGATATTACCTACATAACAATTTCCCATTATCAGTTCTACCCGTATCTGAAAATGGATTTTTCTCAAATTTTGAATCTTGGACGCGAAAAGTCTTTCGTTTCGTTGTCGGTAGCGTTAACGTGATCGGAATCGTCCGTTTCTATGTTTAAATAAAATAAAATAGAGGGTTGGGTGTGAGTAATACCCAGCAGTTAACTACTCCCTAAGGAAGATCAGCCAGAACCAATGGACCACTTCAAAATGCTCTGGATTTTTTTAGGATATTACACAGTGAGCGCCGCCAAAGTACATCAGCAGCACATCAGCAAGGGGTTAAGAGGTTATTATATAGTCAATAATAAAGGGACGATTTGTAATAAATTACTCTGCATCGTGTTATTTTTATCAAAGCCAACGCTATTTAAAAGATTAACTTGCTTTGATATATAAAAATGACTATATAACACTTCTCCCATTAACAGTTCTACCCGTATCAATAATGGACTTTTCTCGCATCTAACTTAAATTTTGAATCTTGATGCAAAGTCCGTCATTTCGTTGTTGTAGTGTTAGCGTTATCGAAAAAGTCTTTACGTTTCGTTAGTCAGTAGCGTAGCATTATCGAAGAAGTTCTTCCATTTCGTTCGTAAGAAGCGTAGCATTATCGGAAAACTCTTGCGTTTCATTTGTAGTTAAGGTTTCTCTTAATAAATTAATAAATGAAAATTATGTAAAAAGTTATTCTTAAAAGAAAAAATAAACAATAAAGATTTTAAACCTCTCTCTACGTTTCTTCGAAAGTCAAAAATTAGCGAAATAGTATTTGTCAGAACTGTTTTTTAGTTAGTTTTCGTTTAAGTAAAGAGAGAGATGTTCTCGGGTGGGGTAAAAACAATTACCATAGGCAGTAAGTAAGCCCCTGAACAATCGATATTTTAGATATTAATTTAACATTTTGGATGTATATCAACAGAACATTACTTGGAAAATTTAGAATAAAATCATTACGTGTCGTTGGAAAAACTTTTTGATGTTTCCAGCACGTGTGAATTTTTTTTTTTTAAAATCGTATTAAATTAATTACATTATATAACTGTCCTTTTGTTTAATTCTCTTGGTTAAATCGCAATTGCTTAGTTGGATGACGCGTTACTGAATACTTGGGCTCAGTTAAAATTTGGTGCTGGCTGCGATTAATTTACCGTTTCCTTTAAGAAAAATGTTCACTCTCTATCCGCTTCTTTAATTTATTTTGACGTTGAAATAGTTATCTTTAGTTTCTTGAGTAAAACTCGGCAAAATTTTATCTGATCATCATATCCTTGCCATAAACTCACTAATTAAGCTATTTTTTTCTTTGATGGCGTGTTAACAAAGTCTTCTCGATTCCTTGATGCATTGGACAGACTTTCTAAGTTTCGGTTGGTAATTATAAAAGGTCATATTGACTTTACTAAAGAAAACGGGAGTATCTGTAGGCTAATATTAACATTATTAATTATCTAATTTCACTAGTTTTTTGTGATGGTATAATAATGATTTTCATCAAGTTACGCTGATAAACTATTTCATTGTAAGGTTTGATAATCTCATGTTTGATTTAATTATTACTATTGGAACGATACTTTTTTCTCACAATGGCGCTTCTTTATATTTATTATACCTTTAATAGGGGGGTATTACAATTCATGACACAAAAACAACAAATAATATGTTTAAACAATGTTATCAAAAAAAATTAAAAAATTTTTTTCTGGATGTGATGAATTGAAGTCGTGATTAGAATCAGTTAATACCGAATAATTTTTTTCTCGATTTTCGATTCTCGAGATTCAATTTTTGGTTTCGATTAACCGATTTTATTAAAAAATATTGCCAAGGAAAAAAGTTTACATTATCACAATATTACATTTATTTATTAGATACCAAAGGTAATACATTCAAATAATGGTTGAATTTATCCTATATTGATGCGGCATTATTGGCACTTAATTTTTTTAATAACTTCCCATTTAGGTTAAATCTTCCAATCAAATTTCAGATGTGGCAATTCTTTTTTTAAGTTTATTTATTTTTTTTTTTTTTTTTTTTTTTTTTTACGAATTATTAGATTCGTAGTTTTAATTAAATGTAATTGTCTATAAATACATAAACGAAAGAACGGCATTAATTACGTCGGAAATTCGATGTAACGAATGGATGGTAATAGCGAAGTTATATTTTGATGCAAATACATTCTCGGTTAAAACAACCAGTGATTTATTTTTTGTAATATAGTAACTAAGCGGTTAACTCATCTTTCGAATATTCTTCATCTTATATATGGAAATTTGCTAAAAATTAGTCACAGGCTTTGTTAAAACTGTTTCTAATCTAATCTTTCTGGGACGTATTCTTCAAGCGATGCCTTCAACTGCTTGATAATTACTCGTTTATTCGTTGTATAGTGTATTGCTTTGGTCCACAGTCTGTCTCTCGCTGAAAGTTTTCCTTTAAACTTCCTTTTTCCGAAGGAAATATTACACAATCAAGCAAATGATTGGTTTAAGAAATGTTTTCAAATCACAAATTATTTCCATTGTTTAAGGCTTTTTTTTTTGTTTTAAGGAAAATGTTTCGGGATAATAAAAAATTTTTTTTAATGACAACTTTAAAGCATTCTCTTAGACGAGTGACGCGTCGGATGGTACATCATCTCTATTTTCAGACCTTTTGAACCTGTAGTATTTAATAAAAGGAAAGAAGAAGTTTGATGAAAGAGTTGACTTAACAATAAAATAAAAACCACTAATGTCTACAATGGGTATTCAAGGATTTTAAGCTTCTCAAAGAAAGACGTGTGAGAAAATTACAACTCCTCGAAGGAAAATTAGTTAATTTTACTTATTAGGAAATTTTACATTATTTTTATAAAAAACCTGTTTAAACCTTGATCAGGTTTACCGAGAAAACTATGATTTCGATGTTTGAACATAAATTGTCAAAAATTAAGATGCATGAAGTTTAGACTGCTTATAATAGTTACATCCTTTTTTTTTTTATAGATTCACAGTACAATAATAAAGATTTCTGTAATAGATAACAATTGTCAAATACCACAGTTATCGTGCCAAAAATTAAAAAATTAAAAAATTAAAAAATTCGAGTTACAGGACATATGATCCGTAATATGATTTAATTTACAAACAAAATTTGTATATCTCTCATTTCGAGAGGAAACTTGTACAGTAGCGGTCATAAGTATCCGACCGCCTCTAACTCCGGCTACAAGTAAGTAAATTCAAAATTTTTTTTTTATT